ACTTCTCGCAAGGTGGCCAAAGCATTACAGCGTAATGCAGCTCCTCTAGACACTGATTATAAGGTTGGTGATTTAGTTATCTACCGTCGGGACAACGTCCCTGGCAGCCCAGGAGTCGTATGGTCCACGGTTAGCCGCGTCATAGGACGTGAGGCAGAGAATGCGTACTGGGTATTACACGAGAATATCCCTGTACTTGTGAACGCTAGGAAGATGCGCCCAGCTGATGAAATCGAAGTTGCAGCGCACCGCGTTTTGGCAGGTGAACCAGTGCTTCCGGAAGCCATCGTACATGGGCCGGAACAAAGGTTCCAGGATGAGCGCGTAGCGGATCCGGTCACAGCACCAGCGACGCCACGTCCAGTGGCTGCAGCTGCCCCGCTTACACCGGCAGTCGCGCACGATGTGCCTATGCCAGCACCATCGACGCCAGCGATGATGCCCGGCACACCGATGCCAGCGCCATCTGCCCCTGCAAGGTTTCGCGCCAAAGATAAGACGGGCGAAACCACCCGGTCGCGATCGCCAGTAGGAGGCCGTGATGACGCACTAGTTGCGGAAGAGATTGATCACGTAGAGATCATGGCAAAAGGCCTGATAGATGCTCAGGGTTTTTCTCCAGATGAGTGTCTGGCCCTCCTTCGCGCTTATGACCGCGACCGACGCGAGGCGTACACGCGCCCGCTCCTAGATGATGGAGATCCCGGGAGCATAGTCCTCGCGATGGGAGTATATCGGCACGGTGGTCTTGTTGGTGTCTCTGGACCAACGCGCGAGAGACCGTCGTTCGCCATGTACCTCAACCACTACCTCTTGCATCACAGTATGCAAGCCGGTCACCATCTTCCACAGTGGAGTAGCGTTCAGCTTACCAACAGAGGCGCAGAGGCCCATAGAGACCTAGCGAACACTCCTGGCTCGTATAACTACACTATAGGTGTGGGCGAGTATCGTGGAGGCGGCCTATGGGTGGAAGAAGCCACGGGTACAACTCCCGTGCGTATCCAAAACACGACAATGTATGGCACCGTCCATGATACTAAGAACAAGGTTCTTAAGTTTCGCCCGAAGGACGTGCACATGGTCGCACCGTTTGTAGGAGAAAGATACAGTCTCTCCGCATACACGGTGAGTGACCTCGGTAAGTTGTCTAAAGATGACATACAGCTTTTGTCGGATCTAGGCTACCCCATATATAGGGATGCGCCCAACACCTTTGGCAGGAAAGGCGATGGGATATACACCATGGGTCACTCCGATCTTCCCATCGAGACGTTCCTAGAGCGCATCCACGAGTACGGGATTAAGGAAATCGTAGATTGCAGAAGCCACCCGTACAGTGTTCGGCATCCACAATACAATTGTGATGAGCTTTCTGCCACATGCTTTGCAAAAGGGGTTGTGTACAGTCACGCCCCCGAGTTAGGCAACAGGAATCGGGGCGGGATTGAAGCCAACCTGCAAACAGACCAAGGGCTCTGTACGATCGCTAGAATAGTTAGCGAGGCTCACGATGACTTTCACCGAATACTTCTGTTGTGTTCGGAGGCCAGTTGGCGGCGATGCCATCGGCGAAATATCGCCCAGCACATATGGCTCGAGCATTCGAAACTTGCGGAGCACATACGTGCTAACGGACTGCCAGAAGCCCATCCGTGTCAATACATTCCTGAGGAAGACGACGGACTGGCAGCAGCATCGCACACAGCAGCGATTGGCACGACAGTGTCAGCAGTTGAGCCCTCGGATAGTCGAGAGGCAGAATCCAAGGCCTTCGCTCTCACCCCTGATGGGGAAGACGCCTTCGGCTCTAATGTCGAAGTTGGCTACATGGCCTCGCTCCTGGATTACCATAAGGCCCCTGTAGAGGTACAGTTGGGGCTGGATGCTGCCATGAAGACTGAATGGCAGAAGTACACTGAATTCAACGCAGTGGTTCCTTGCACAGACAAGGAGTTTAAGGAGCTTACAAAGGCTGGCCACGTGTGTATCCCCACCAAATGGGTTCTTACCGATAAGAATGAACACCTAAAGGGGACAGCAGCATACACTCCCAAGTGGAAAGCACGCTTGGTTGCATGTGGAAACTTCGAGCATATCTCGAATGAGGAGGATATCAGGGCAGACAGCCCCACGGCCGAGCCGGAAGGTATAGCCCTTCTGTGTTCATGGGCGGTTTCGTTGGCCCTGCGGCTCAAAGCAGCCGATATAACGAACGCATACTTCCAAGGGAAACCCCTTGAGCGCCTCCTCATTCTTCGGGTTCCCAAACACCCTAAGGGTGTGCCCGATGCAGAGATTCAGCGAGCCGGGTATATGATTGCCCGAGTACCCGTGTACGGCACCACCGACGCGGGTCGGAACCTTTACCTCCGTATAAAGGAGAGTTGCCGAGAATTTGGCTTAAATGCCTCGCAAATTCTGTCAGCCCTGTACTATATTACAGGAGAAGGTGGTCGTTTGTGCGCTTGCTTGTGCACCCACGTGGATGATTTCCTGTGGGCTGCTACCGCCGAAGGCGAGCCGGCTATCCAGAATCTGCTGGATAAGTTTAAGATCGGTCGCATAGAGACTGAGAAGTTCCGTTTCTGCGGACGCGAGTATGTGCAAAGCGCCGATGGGACCATCAGTATAAACTGTAGGGACAACACGCGTGCAATTCGCCCGATCGATATACATAAATCTGAAAAGGGCACGACTCCAGTCTCGAATGGCCAGCGCACAGCGCTGAGATCCGTCATAGGATCGCTGGCTTGGGTGGCCCGCGCCACGAGACCTGATCTTGCCTATAGGGTGAATGCCCTGCAGCAGCGTGTTACGACAGCCACGGTGGATACGCTCCGTGAAGCAAACCGCGTAGTAGCACTGGCGTTAGGAGATGCGGATAGGCCGATTACGTACAGCGCTAAGTTACCCTGGAATACAGGGGAGCTGGCAGTCGTCACGTTTTGCGACGCCTCCTTTGCAGGAGAGGCGAACCATAAGTCGCAGAGAGGCCGTTTCCACTATCTCACTTCCGCACAGTCGGCGGTGGACAAGAACGCGTCAACGCATGAGATGCACCTCATTTCGTTCTCCTCGTCCACCATGAAACGGGTTTGTCGCGCCACACTGCAGTGTGAGGCTTACTCGTTGCAGCATGCCATAGAGCATGGAGACCGTATTCGAGCAGCAGTACTCGAAGTACTTGGCAAACTGCCCCGGTCACAGAACTGGGAAGAAGTCGCCAAGAGATCGATGTTCCACCTGCAGTATACGGACTGCAGGTCCCTTTCGGATCACTTGACAGCGTCGATTCCAAAGTCCTGCGAGGATAAACGCCTTGCCATTGAGATGTCTGGACTCCGCCAAGGACTTTGGGAAGAGGACGAGCTAACGCACGTCCTATACCATCCCTGTGGCGATGAGTTGAGATGGATACCGACGCATTTACAACTTGCGGATTGTCTCACTAAGAGTATGAAACCGCTTTTGATCAATCACAGCATTGATCGCAATCTCGTTCAGGTACTCGATGTGCCCGCGCAAGCCGCACAGAATACCGAGAGTACCGAAAGCACTCCGCTTCGCGATTGAAGAACTCAGCCTAGAGCCTTGAGTCGCCGCACTCGGCTCGGTTGACTGCGCAAGCTCCCGGTATAATCCGGTGAAGTAGGTTTGATCCAAAGCGATCAAATTCGAGCATGATTCGGACGTCACACTACAGATAAGACGGGTGTGAAATTTCCCTGTCTTGAAGAGCCGTGTTGACATGTCCTCATGCGAGCGTAGTTTTTGTGTTAGTTCTGAACGCACCCTGTACGACAGACGTCTTGGGCTCAGACCAAAAAGTGTGCTCGTTTGCGTGGTTGGACACTCACTAATCCAGTTCCTGCTTCAAAAGGGTTTAGGGTTTCGACTTTTAGGGTTTAGGGTTATTTTTCCGGTTTTTAGGGCTTAGGGTTTAGGGTTTCGATTTAGGGTCTTACCCTAATGCTCCTAAGAGGGTCTTGGGCTTTCTGGGGGAGGGTCTCGGCTTTGGGGGCTAGGGTTTGGGATCTCACTACAAGGGTTCACGGGTTTAGGGTAGTAACTAGGGCTCCTTTAAAGGGTTCCCTCAAGGGATCTATAAGGATTCTATATGGGTTTGGCGGGTGTTTGGAGGATCAGGGGACTTAGTAACGTCGCAAGTAGAGTTATAGTAGAAGCCAGAATATTGGAACATCATTATCCTCGTGCCCTTAAGGTAGAGTATAAGGGAATCCCAGCACTAATCCTCCTGAAGCCGTGTTCCAACTTTCTGGCTTCTACTATAAGGCGCTAACCTAGACCCCCCCAACTATCCTCTAACATAGCCCAAATACCCACTATTAAGGGCCATCAGGGATTTGTCAAAGGGCCCTTGTGGGGTCCTGGTAGGGTTAGGGTTTTAGCGGTTAGGGTTTTTTGGTTTAGGGGATTTCAGGGGTTTAGGATTGAGGGGTTTAAGGGTATAAGTGTTTAGGAGTTGATGGTTTAGGGGTTGCAGAGGTTTGGGGTGAAGGGGCTAAGGAGTTTGAGGGGTTTAGGGGTTTAGGTTTCTTTGGGTTTAGGACTTAGGGTCCAGGGGTTTAGGGTTAAGGGGTATAGGGTAAAGGAGTTTAGGCTTAAGGGGCTTAGAGTTAATCGGTTAGGGTTTAGGAGTTTTGGGTTAAGGTGTGTTGGGTTAAGGTGTTTAGGGTTGAGGGGTTGCAGTAGGGTTGTTGGGCCCAAGTGTTCTTGCAAGGCTTCCGTTTAGGGTTCCTACCAGCGTGAGTTGCGTGCTCATAGTATCCCCTTTACAGTTCCTGTATAGGTTTTAGGGGTTAAAGGTTTAGTAATTGTATCAGTTTCACAGTCTTTATATACCTCGACCACACTCGGCAAAGACTCAGTTCTAACCATTGAGGCCCCTGTGTTAGTTGCTCTTTTTGAGTTGGGTTTCCGACTGTTTCAAGCAGGATACCCAAAACCCTAGACCGCATCCATCTGTTTGTCCTGAGGCCAAGTTGGCTTCCGAGCCCTTCGTGCCCCATGGTTCCAAGCCTGTGTCCATGACGGTGAAGAGGCGCCAGCTGGGCATTCAGGGTTCAGTGCTCTGAGGGTTGAGTGTTTTAGGCCGAGCCCTTAAACCCTGTCTGGACCCTAAGAAACCCCTATCCTTTTAGGGTTCCTTAATATAGTTTCCTTGTAAGAGTCCTTAAAAAGGTAGGTAAGTTATTCGGCGATGAGGTAAACCCTTAGCCCTCTGTTTGGGGATAGTTGGCTTCACCTAAGGCCTTCGGTGCTTTCACCTCCTTGGAGCTTGAACATCTGGGACGCATCAATATACCGACCTGCCCAACTCATAGGGAGATTTTTTCAGGGCTTAAGTAATTACCTGTACTATTTGCGGTTTAGGGTTTTAGGGTTTAGGGGTCCTTATCATGAGTTTAGATATATATATATATATATATATATGCATATATGTATATATACACACCACAAACCCTGTTCTAACTATTGAGGCCCCTACATTATGTTCAAAAATTTGTGCTTAGGTGCTGCGTAGTGCTCCCGTAGCAGAAGGCCTACAGCTTTTGAGGTTCAGGCATGTAGGGCTTCGATTTTTTGAATTTAGTCTAGGTTGGGGTCGAGATCATGGTTTCGGGGTGTTTAGGTGTAAGGGTGAGGTCGAGCGTGCTGAGTTGAATTTGGTCAGCGGTTGCGTTGAGGGTAAGTACGAGGACTTGGGATCACCTTTACTTTGCTGCGATTGGTGTCCTGAAGGAAGGTATGACAAGTTCTCTCGGCTTCACTATCTGGGACAGGCTCCTAAAGCCTAAACGCTAAACCCTACACCCATAAACCCTAAACCCCTAAACTTTAGACCCTACACCCCTAAACCCTTAAACCCCTAAACCCCGAACCCCTAAATTTTAAACCTTACACCCCCCAAACCCTCAACCCCGAACCCCTAAACTTTAATCCCTACACCCCACTCCAGAAGTCTGATACCCCAGACCCCCCAGTCCCCAAACCCGAGGTCCAAAAACCCTACAGCCCGAGACCCTAAACTCTCTAAGCCCTAACCTCTGAAACTTCCAACAGCAGCTTGCATGGTGTGGTGTTATTGGGGTCGTTAGTCTTCTTAGTTTTGTTTTGTTGCTGGTTGTTTGGATGATTGTTTGTTGGTTGGTTCATTGGTTGGTTGATTGTTCGTGTTGTTTGTTTGTTTGTTTGTTTGATTGATTGTTTGTTTTGTTGTTTGTGTGTGTGTATGTATGGTTTTGCTTGTTTTTTTTGTTTGTTCGTTCGTTCGTTTGTTTGGTTGGTATGCTGTGTATGCATGTAAGTTGTTCGGTCATGCGACTTCAGCAATCATAGACGTGACGCCTCCGGTCTTTCCGCAAGCCCTCAACCCTAAACCCCGAATGCCTAAGACAAGTTTCGCAAGGTCGACTGTTCCTGACGGCTATGAGCGAGCCATTGACCACTTTGAGTTCAACCTCGAAGGCCTTACTATAAGGGTGCTGTACCCGGGTTTGATGTTTGGTTTAGGGTAGGGTTAAGGCAAGTGGGTGATGGGATGGTTTTGAGCTTTGGGTGGGCTTACGGCAGAAGGAGCTCAAGGGGTTTAGGGTTTAGGTTCTTTTATGTGATTATACAGGCTTTGTTGTGTTCTACACTGTCGTATAAGCTGATGTAACAGACGATCTCCGGCTGTCTGCAGGAGTGTACGTTTAAGATTGTAGGAGCTCTCCAGTCTTGCTTCCTTCTAGGCTCTTTTCTTAAGGTCCGAGAAAGAGCCCTTAACCTTAAACTACACCCCAAACCCTAATACCCTCCTCCACCCACGACCGTACAACGCAAACCCAAGCTTCCCGAAACCTTCGGTATACCAGCTTCCCCCCCTCAATTGTACCCACAGATACCCACTATTAAGGACCATGTGGGCTCTGTTAATTGGTACTTAGGGGGGGTGCTAGCAGGCCCAAATGCAACTCCTTTCACACCACATTCCTTCAAGCGGGGTCCCTAGACCCTAAACCCCTAAACCATCCTAAACCCTAAACCCTAAACCCCTAAACCCCTAAACTTTAAAACCCTTAACCCTAAACCTCGCATTCTGTATCAGGCTTCAGTCTTCAACAATCCAAGGGTAAAAGGAGGGACCCGTAATGAAAGCTGGGACTCAGTAACTAGGGCTAGGGTTCCTTTAAAGGGGCTCCTAAGGGATCTATAAAGGTTACTATTAAGGGTTCTATAAGGGTTTTGGGGGTACTTAAAGGATCATGGGACTTAGTAACTAGGGTTATAACTAAGGTAGCTATACTTATAACCCCAGTTTAGGTGCGTATAACCTTGTTTACTAGGTCCCATGATCCTCTAAGTAGGTATATACCCTTAATATGGCTATTATATACCCACTATATACAGTGAAAACCCTGTATAGGAACCCCGTTCGGCGAGAGTAGGGTACCCTAAGGTTCTTAATTTCCATTACATGTGATTTTGCCGTTCGAGCAGCTAGGGTAGGCTCAGGTTCTTAACCACGTTCTTATCCGGACCGAGGTCTCGGGAAATTTACTTTTGGATTCTAAATTTCCTCTTGGGGGTGGATGGGCCATGGGGGTCTGGAAAATTTAGTTTTCAATTCTAAATGTCCACAGCTCCTCGAAAGGACTCCGGGCAGAGGGCATGGCCAGAGACCCCCCGAAAATTTACTTTTGGATTCTAAATTTCCTCTTGGGGGTGGATGGGCCATGGGGGTCTGGAAAATTTAGTTTTCAATTCTAAATTTCCACAGCTCCTCGAAAGGATTCCGGGCAGAGGGCATGGCCAGAGACCCCCCGAAAATCTACTTTTGGATTCTAAATTTCCTCTTGGGGGTGGATGGGCCATGGGGGTCTGGAAAATTTAGTTTTCAATTCCAAATTTCCACAGCTCCTCGAAAGGACTCGGGGCAGAGGGCATCGGATGGGCCATGGGCCAGTGGCTTGGGCCGGCACCAGGACGCTGGTGGGAAAATTTAGATTTCAATTCTAAATTTCCACAGTTTGGTGGCGAGGGGCTCTGTTTCAGTGGAATACGAGCTGCGGGAATGCAGCCCGCAGCGGCAAGACACCCCCGGGGATCGAAACAAGGCCTTTCCCCTGTAGGGCCTATGCAGAACCACTGCGCTGTGGGGAGGCTTTTCTGCCTGTTTTCTCCCCACGTCTCCACGTTGGTGTTTTGTGGTTTGGAGAACGCGGAAATTTACTTTCGGATTCTAAATTTCCTGACGCCGTTTGTGTGGGTCAGAGGCCACAGGGCCAGGAAGGGGCTGGTGTAGAAAATTTAGATTCCAATTCTAAATTTCCACGTTTGGGTGGCAAGGGGCTTTGTTTCGGTGGAATGCAAGCTGCGGGGGGCCAGCCCGAAGCGGCATGACACCAGCGGGGATTTGAGATTATGCATGGCCACTTCGGGAGGAAGGGCTGGAAATTTACTTTTGGATTCTAAATTTCCTGATGCCGTCGGTCGAAACACGTACCTTTGCCTCCAGAACCCATGCACAACCACCGCGCTGTGGCATGATTGCTGTTGCCCATCGATAAGACAATCAGCATGTTTAGGCACAAGATTTCTTGATGTGGAAGGTTGGGAAATTTAGTTTTCGATTCTAAATTTCCTTGGTGAGGGAAAGCACCCAAAAAATTAAGAACCTGACCCGAAAACTAGGGTACCCTAAGGTTCTTAATATTGAGGCAACTTGAATCTGGTGAATTCCGCCTTGGGTAGGGGCTCAGGTTCTTAAACAGTGGGTTCTTATACAGTATTTTCACTGTAGCCCATGAAAAGGGTAGGGGTCCCCATGAAGGGTCCCTCCTTTTTCCCTTTGAAACAAGGGCCCTGAAGCCTCCAAGAGAGCTAGGCCCCGGCACAGCTAGCCCAAAAAGCCTCAAAGACCCAAGAACTGGGATAGTACGGTTGATGATATAAATCCTGCATGGCCCATAATAAGGAATATACCATATATTCCTTATTATGGGCCATGCAGGATTTTTTATCATCAACCGTAGGACTGGTTGGTGAGTATTTGGGGAGTATATGTATGAAACCCATAACTCCTAAGGCCTAAAACCTGACAAGCCAGCCCACGAAACTCTCAAATCACCCCCCTTGCTCAAGAAACTCTTTGAGGCAGCGGCCTCTCGTACGATCAGGGTGACTCGCTGGGTCTCTGGCCCAAGAATTCCACCGCGCAGGTGCCACACAACAGATCGGGTACTTAGAGGATCACAGGAGTGAGTAACTAGGGCTATAAGTGAGGTAAGTATACCTATAACTACTTAGTTATCACCCCAACTAGGGTACTTATAACCTTGCCTCGCTAAGTCCCGTGATCCTGCAAGTAGAGGGCTTTGGAGGCTCAGGGTTCGGAATTCCTCATCCCCTATGATGCTAGAATCATGAAGCCCCTGATCCTAAGTACCTGAAACCTCATACCCTAAACCCTAAACCCTAACCGTGTTGGGTGTAGGGCGGATTTGGGGCTTTGATGCATGAGCTGAGTGTAGAGATATGCGCCACAGAGCGGAGGACGCAGAGCGCCGGGCTGACAGGGCCGAGGAGGAGCTGCACCGGCTCACCAGGCGCTCAAGGTCGCACCGCAGACGGAGGGATGGTTCCTCGTCGGACAGAAGCCGCCGGCGCGATCACACACGAGAGCGAGATCGCACGCGCACAGGGCGGCGCATGGAGTCCAGGCCTTGGGATAGATCCGAGGCACCCACGAGACAACGCCTCTCTCGCTGGGGCCGTGGTAACAGAGCCGGCCGAGGAGGCGATGATGCCGATCAGCATGTGCGACCATCTTCCACCACCACGAAGCCCACTAGCAGTAGCACCGGCACTGGCCTACCACAACGACGACAACGAATGCTACTACTACTACTACTACTTCTTCTTCTGCTGGTACTCTTGATTTGTGGTTTGCTGTGCTGCCGGTAATAGTCATAGCCAGTGCAAGAGCACAGCCTGTACTTCCTGAAGCACGTGTTTCTGTTCTTGATTACCTGCTGGGTCCGGAAAGATTATCTACTGCCTGCAACTCATGATCTACGTGCTATAGGGGGCCTCAACAGTTACCAATACGATTGTGGGGTTCCTTATGATGATTACAGTATAATGTACCCCAAAACCCTATTGTAATTACGAAGGCACTTATATGCACTGTCGCAAGCGGTGGAGATGCCCAACCCCGAAATCTCTCCCTAAGCCCTAGGCCCTAAACCCTAAAACCAAAACCAAACCCCAAGAGCTTTAAACCCATCCAGAGACTCCAATATCCCTCCACTAAGGAATATACCTTCGGGTTCCTGAAAGGTTTTTTTTAGGAATAGACTTTAAAGTGTAATGGGATCCCTTATGTGGTTTATATGATTAGAATATATTCCTGAATTGAGGGATATCGGAGTCTCTGGGCATAAGACTCACAAGACTCTAAAACCCCCTTAACCCTAAACCCCCTTATGCCAGGTCGACATCTGCCTCAAGGCGTTGAAGCTCAACGGCTGCTTGGCTGAAAGGTCTTTTGGTCGAGGGTTCGGGTTTAGGCTGTATGGTGAACTCCAGAAAGCTGGAACATGGCTTTAGGATGATTAGTGCTGGGATTCCCTATATTCCACCTTTAAGGGCATGAGGATACAGATGTTCCAACTTTCCGGCTTCTGCTGTAATTAGAGTTCCTGTACGAGATTTATTAAGGGTTTCTCTTTTCAGGCTTTAGAGTTTAGGGCTTCGGACTGAAAAATGAAAGTAGGGAGTCCGACTTGGCGTTCCGGGTTTTGACTTGTGAGAGTGGGGGTGTGTTTATCTCGTGCCCGCGGTATTCAGACTTGAGTCCCAAACCTTTAGGCAGACCTCACCAGCCCGGACCCCCGGGAGGATCTAGAAAATTGATGCTAGTAGATCCTAATTTCGGGCCCTGTACTACTAAGGGTACTTTATAGGAACCCCCATTAAGGGATCTACTTTTTGGATCCTCCCGAGGGTCTGGGAGACTGATGTCAATGTCTATACAGGGCCTCAGAGAACAAACGAGATTAAAATGCTGAATCCTCGGCCCTCAACCCTAAGCTCTAAACAAGACGGACAAGTGAAAAAAGGAGATAATACCTTTAGCCATATTCCCCTGTAGCCCCTAGTGTTACAAATTACAGAACAGAATAACATAATCCCCCAAACACGATTATTATGATAAGAAACAACGAAGAGAAAAGGTTAAATTCCCTTAACCCTAAACTTTAAACCCTAAAAGCAACAAGAGAAAAGGCTGTTATTGTATAGCGAAGCTTGAGATTCCCACCTGGAGTCTAGAGTAACCAAGGCAAGGAACCGCAGCAACAGTAAATGTACTTTCTTGGAGTCATACCCCTTTCCGAAGGGTACATTGCTTACACCAGGTAAACCCGAAACGGTGATACCTAAATACCAAATCCCTAAACCCCAAAAAGGTTATAGAACAACAAACCCCGAAACCCTAAACAGAGAGGTTAGTATTATGCAACAAAGCCCTGACACCTAAACCCTACAAAGCTTGGTATTCTGAAACCTTAGAAACGGTGTTCAGTATGTAACAAAGCCCTAAAAGCCGAAGCCTTAACACTGTTATTAACATATGACAGAGCCTTACAGACCGAAACCCCAAGAGCCCTAAAGACCGAAACCCTAAGATCTCTAAAGCCCGAAACCCTAAGAACGCCCTAAAGACCGAAACCCGCTAAGAAAGCCCTAAAGACCGAAACCCGCTAAGAAAGCCCTAGAGACCGAAACCCTAAGAAAGCCCTAAAGACCGAAACCCTAATACCCTAAACTAAAACCCGAAACCCTAAGAACGACCTAAAGACCGAAACCCTAAGAAGGTGATTAGTATATAACAGAGCCTAAAAAGCCGAGACCTTAAAACGGTTATTAGCATATGACAGAGCCCGAAAGACCGAGACGCTAAGAAGGTGATGAGATTCTGCACATCCAGCCCATCGACTCGAACCGCTCGGCTCCCCTTCCCGAAGTCCTCACGGCAACGGGGCGGCGTTTCGTCATTGTCGGTGGGTTTAGGGTTTAGGGTGTTAAGGTTTAGGGTTTTGGGTTTAGGGTTTTAAGCTTTAGGGTTTTAGGTTTAGGGCTTCAGGATGCAGGCGTTAAGGGTTTAGGCTTGAAGCATTGGAATCGGGGTTAACGATTTGGCAGGGGGATTTAGACTGCAGTTGGGAGTGTTATGGGGCTAGGGTTACAGCTTGCCACCCCAACTAAAACCCCCACTAATTCCTAAACTGCACAACATCTAGAAACTCTCGTTAAAAAAAAGAAACCCTGTTACTAGGTAGGCCTTTGGGACATGTCATGCTCCCTTATTGGGACTAAGAGGATGTGAATCACGAAAAATTGTCAACAGCTTCGCAAAGCCAGCAGAGGTGAAAGACCTTGAAGGGAACCCCGAATTCCCCGAACACGAAGCAGGATGTCAGAGGCCGGCAGAAAGTTTTGAGAAAGTTCCCCGAGCCTGCTAGAAGCCTTGTGACAACCCGGATCCCAGAACCCGATGTATTGTGTAAGCCCTGTATACAATAAATATACCTGAAGAGTACGTTAGATAAACCCTGCATGCAACCTAAACGAACCTGGTCGGTTTCATGTTAGACGACGCAGGAGAAAAAAAACTAAGTCTATCCTCAAAAGTTGCTTGAAACGTATATGAAGCCAAAGGGCCCCCTAGACCCTCCAACTACCCCCTAACGTGGCTCTGTAAAGGGGGCTTGAAAGGGTCCTGGCAAACCCTAGACCCTACACCCTTAAGTGGCCCTTAACCCTAACCCTAACCCAAACCCAAAGCCCGAGTCCAGTGAGCCAGTCTTTTGCCATTCAGATCAATCCCTAAATCCTAAACCCCAAACCCCAAAGCCCTAAACCCTCAACCCCAAAGCCGCGCCCTAAGCCTTAAACCCCAAAGCCGTAAGCCCTAAATCTTAAATCCTAAACCCTAAGTCCTAAACCCTAAATCCTAAATCCTAAACCCTAAACTGTGCCAAAGCCCATGCCCTCAGGCCAGGGCCCTACTGACCGAGGCGCTTCGGTTTAGGGGTTTCTGGCTTTGGACTGTTTAGGGTGTTGGTGGTTCGGGGCATAGGGGTTTAGGGTTTAGGATTTAGAGTGTTGGTTAAGGGTTTCGGTGTAGAGTGTTTAGGGTGTTGGTTTAGGGGGTTTTAGGGGTTTGGTTCGGGGGTTTAAGGTTTAGGATTTGGAGTGTTGGTTTGGGGTTTAGGGTGTTGGTTTGGGGGTTTGGGGGTTCAGGGTTTAGGATTTGGAGTGTTGGTTTAGGTTGTGGGGTGCATTTAGGATGTAACGTCTCACGCTGCATGGTGTTTTGCAGCACTTTGCAAAGGAATTGGAAGCCAAGCCCAACAGCTGAACGCAAGTGCTAAGCCCCTACTTGGAGGATCATGGAACTCAGAAAGCATGATTATAGTGCCCGATTTTGTTGGGCTGACAAGTAGTTGTAAAGTAGAGTTACATGTACCTTATGTATACCCCTGGTTACTGAGTCCCATGATCCTGTAATTAGAATCCCTCAACCATACCTGTAGCCGAAAAGACCTACCTTTTTAAGGAGCTATGTATAGAAACCATAATGAGGAACCCTAAAAAGGTAGGTCTTTCCGGCTACAGGTAACCCCTGAACCTGAACCCCATACACCAGACCTTTCCTGTATCTTCAAGTGGGCACTTTGTCCTAGGCTCCTGATAAACGTACTCACAACTTGCGCATTCTGTCCCGTTCGGACGACAAGCCCTAGACCCCAAAATGGCGGCCGATTAAAAATTAGAGGAGGATTGTGGTGTAATTTTGCTCTAGTTGTTGTACAGAGCCATACGGTATATGGCATCCGTAGTAACAACTGAAAACAGCCTGAAAGACGCAATGTGTAGGTTTTGGACATCGCCGGCTGGCCCAAGCGACGTTTCTACGCCTCTCAGACATTTTGGGGGTTTAGAGCTTTTCCGGGTTTAGCAACTGATGGGTTCAGGGTTTCGGGCCGTTAGGGCTGAGGGTGTGTAGCAAGCTACGGGGGTAGGAGAGCTGAGGGACAGAACGGAATCTTTGTCATAGTTGAGTACCGTTTTGCATTTTTATGGGTACTTGAACCCAATAAGGAATTAAATGTACAGTTTTAATCCTATCCCAACAGTGAACTAGGAATGGCTCAGGGCAGGCGTATGGCAGGCTAGAAGCGTAGGGGGATGGAGAGTGCACATGCGGGTACACTCTTGGCAGGGCCTCTTAGAAAGTCCCACACCATGAGACTGTTGGCCTCACGTATCGTCCCTCTTAAACACTAAATCCCAAAGCCTCAAGAGCCGGTAATTTCTTAATTAAGCCAGAAACCCAGATGCCTCAACTGTGTGTCACAAATTCAGGAGGCAACTCACTTTTGATGTAGCAAATTTCCCTAAAGATGTGATGTGTTTCCACCGCTCGAATTTGTTGTTCAGTGAGAATTTGGGCAGGTCGGTATATATTAGTTACCTCTCCCTGAAACCCTTATATAGGGCTTAGCGGATATAGGGGTTTAGGGCTAAGGGTTCTGACTGCTTGAAGATCATTACAGAAAGTCTCGACATTAAACCATTTCCGAATCCTAAGCCCTGAACCACTGAATAGCATTTGTTACAGAACCTGCAGAGGAACCTTAGGTGGAGCACCGTAAAGGGGCCCTTGCAACCTTATCCTAAACTGAAAATTACCCAGAGCCTCCAAAACCCCTTAATTAAGGAATATACCTCAAATCATAGTAGGATCCCTAATATAGTTTAAGGTATATTCCTTAATTAAGGGGTTTTGGAGGCTCTGGGTACACGCTCCGAGACCCCACGATCCTGCCGCAGTCAACAGAGTATTTCATGAAGGTGCAGGTCTTGCGTGTGCGGCGGAAGGTAGCCTGCAACGAGTGCAGCGAATGGTGGACTGCATGCGGGCCTCGGGACGAGAGCGCAAACGGTCCAGGTGTGTGGCTGCCGTAGAGGACATGGTGGCAGACGACAAGCAAACCGAGCCTGTGATACCTTTCGCAAAGTTTGAGCGGGCAGCCCAAGACACCCCAAAGCAGAACCGGCCTGAACCTTAAGCATGACACCACCTTAACCCCCAAGCCCAAAACCCCAACCATACTTAAAGGATCATGGGGCTTAGTAAGTAAGGTTCCTTAAATGCAAGGGCTCCTTAAAGGGATCCTGAGAAGGGGTTTCTAAGGAGGATCATGGGACTTAGTAAGTATGGTTATATGTACCTTAATTGGGGTCATAAGTAGTTATAAGTGTAGTTGCTTTACTTATAACCCTAGTTACTAAGTCCCATGATCCTCTAAGTATAACATAGGCCCTCTCTTAGCCCTTACTACGCCCCGTCAAAGGACCCTTTAAGCCGCCCTGAAAGGAAACCTAAACCCTGAACCCTGAATCCGACACTCCTAAACCCTGAGCACCTAGAAGCTTACCCCGCAGTGGGCAAGCTGGCTTGGGAGAAACTCCGTTATCATAATAGGAAACCCTAAACCCTGAACCCTAAACCTTGAACCCTCAATCCAACACTCCTAGACCCTGAGCCCTAAAGCTCTAAGCTAACCGAGGAGATGTTGAAGCTTTCGGCGACGGACCCCAAGGAGCAGGACGACGGGTTCTGCCCCCGACCGCAAGTTTTGGGGTTCTTTTCAAGGGCTCTTTTTGTTCGGGTTTAGGAACTATTTAGGCTCAGGTTGGGGGGGGGTCCTTTTATAGTCCCTGTTTACAGGGTTTTAGGGTTTATAATGTTCCTTGCAAGGTTTAGGAGTTTAAGGGTTCTGTGGCTTTAGTGCCCCTTGAAGAAATTCCTCTGAGCCTCTACACTGCAACTGGCCTCGTGAGGTAAGTACTTAGTTTGTGCACTTAGTCTTTACAGGGGTCCCTAGCTAGGTACTGTACTGTACAAGTATATGCTTTGTAGGTACATGGAGCCTTCTGGTCAGGCTTGCTCCAAGGGTTCCTCAGGGGCACTACACCACTATCTCGCTTGAACTCACAAAACCCCGTCGCCCATATCGAATTCGCACAGAGACGTATAGAGCAGCTTGAGACCTTTATGTGTAAAGCTCGCGCCAGCACACACATTCCTTGTAGAACCTGCGCGAGGACAAGTCGTAGGAACTGGAAAGCCAGGAACTCTGGGCTCAGGAAGCCGCGAAACCTTCCCTACATTCAGGCAATGTCGCTCTAAACTCTAAACCCTAAACCCTAACCTTAAACTCTAAACCTGAAATCCTACCTCAAACTCTAAACCCTAAATCCTAAACGCTAACCTTGAACTCCAAACCCTAAACCCCAACCCGCTTGCTACTCTGGCTCAGCTCTGAACGAAGAAAGGCCTTCGGGGCATTGTGTAGCATAAACTTGCCATGGGAACACCGCCAGCCCTGAACCCGAAACCCCAAGCCTACTTAAAGCATCAGGGGACTTAGTAAGAAATTAAGGTTATAAGTACCTTAATTGGGGTTATAAGTAGTTATAGGTATAGCTACCTTACTTATAACTCTAGTTACTAAGTCCCATAATCCTCTAAGTAAGCCCGAACCATCGACAACCCCGACCGCCGTCAGTCCCAGCTCCCTTCAACGTGAACCGTTGTGAGACGAAGGCCCCTAAACCCTAAGCCCTTAAACCCTAAACCCTAAACCCCCAACCCCAAACCCTAAGCCCTGAACCCCAAACCCTAAACCCTAAACCCCAACCCCTAAACCCTAAGCCCTGAACCCCAAACCCTAAACCCTAAACCCCAACCCCTAAACCCTAAGCCCTGAACCCCAAACCCTAAACCCTAAACCCCATGAATGTAACTTCAGGTTTAGCTTTGTTGGCTTCACTCGCAACACTCTACCTATACGAGACCCAATCGTTTTGAGGGTTTGCCCCCCTTGAATGAAGGAGTCATAACCTGGTAGGATTTGGGGCTACAAGTAAACCCTGAACCGTTGCATGAAGGGGTTGAAGAAATTTCGAGTTTTCCCCCCTGGCGACTCTAAAGCGCTTTGCTGCAGGAGTAGACTTAATAGTTCAGAAAAATGATCCCACCTCATTACAGTTTACACTATATTCCATTTTTTCAGCGGCTTTGGAGTCACTGGGTCCATATACTGCCTTGCTGTGATCCGCGGCGGCCACCATGATCCAGAATGCCCTCAAAGCAGTTCTGGAGTTTTGGCGGCAAGAGGGATTTGGATTTTACGGGGCAGTCTCCTAAACCCCAAACCCTGAACCCTAAAAGGGAGTGCCTCTTGCGGGAGCAAGTCCGACACACTTGAAAGAAATGAGGGCTAAACCCTGAACCTTAAACCCTTAAAGCCTAAACCCCTTGAGATTGCACAGTTCGGCCGTTTTAGGGTTCCGCCGTAAAGACAGATGCCAGGGATCCGCGAACGGGACCCCTGTCGACAGGATTCAGGACTTACATGATAGCGCTTGAGAAATATGTAGTTGCCTCTGCTACCTACCGAGTCATGGTAAAACAGTGGCTGTATAAATGTCTCGCCGAGGGCTTGCACACTCGACCAACCATCGACCACCGGCAACAGCAAACGCTCCAGATCCTATGAATCAGTTCTGCTCTCCACCACGCCTGCAAAAGTCACATGATCCACAGGGGTGCAGCTCGTGCATCATCTTGACGTGCCAGGAGATTTACAAAGTATCAGACGTTTTAAAGCCCTGAACCCTAGAAGTAAACACACCTACAGCCAACAAACCAGCATGAAACCAAGACAGCCCGCCTAAATGCCAGTCCAGACGAGCCCGAGCCCTTCGGCTTGATCCCCTACACACAAGGGTTGATGGATTTGGGTTTTTAGGGTGTAGGGTTTTAGGGTTCAGGGTTTAGAGATTGTTTGGGGTGTAAGGATTGAAGCTTTGGGTTTCAAGGGTTAGAGTTGAGGGCTTTGGGGTTTAGGGGTTCAGGGTTTAGGGCTTTGGGGTGAGACTCAATGGTGTACATGTACCCATTGCCTTAGTCATTGAAGATCAGGGTCATGTCCTTCTGTTCCATCATTCATGCGTTACTATACGCCTTAACAATTGGAACATGGTTTTGAGGTAGAACCTACTACAACTATAAAAAGTTTAAGGAACCCACGCAGCCCGATTCTAATCCCCAACATTTGGGCGTTTTGGGCTCTTTCGGATCTAAACGTTGCGGCTCTTCTCGCTCTGAGGAGGTTCTGGTCAATCCCATGCCGGCGTTGGACATGGGTGTGAGCAGCTCTGGAGCATTGGTCCTACTGTGCGATGTGTTGATGATGGGCCGAAGGAGCTTACCACTGTGGCCTTGTTATGGCTCCGATCACACTCCTCGTTCAGCATGTCCTTTCCCCAAGGATCCCAGGTACTGCTATGGGGGGTACTTTGCCGAATAATAATAATGACAACAATAATAGTAATAATACGGATTCCTAATGTTTTTTGAAGCCCTACATTGTACTATGTAGGTACTTTGGACCCTTTGGGTTTGTCCTCATGAGTAGCATTCGTATATTGACTTATTTTGACAGTAGCTCAGATCATCTGCTCGGGTTTGGGGGGGCTCTATGTCCTACTACGATTGCTTGACGCATCCCCCATATCCTTGACTGCTCTTAGGAATTATGTTTTTTTACTATGATACAACTCATATGGGTGGTTGTCGAAATTATGGTACCATTTTGGGTACCCTAAATACTAGGTGCCGTATTACAATAGGGACCCATTTTGACAACCACCCATATAAGGGGGATTCAAAAAATACTGTTTTTGTATGGTTCTAAAAACGGCTAAGTACTGTATCCTAACACCGCGCTCAGACCAAAATCCTTGACCTGGCCTATACCTCACCTAAGGGTCCTATGTACTGTGATGGGGGGCATACTTCCCCAAGTCTTAGTAGTACTTCCTACTTAGGAACCCCTAAGGAACCCTCAACCCTAAACCCTGGAAGGACCCTAAACCCTTAAAGGAACCCTAAACCGTAAACCCTTAAAGGAACCCTTGTAGGTAGGACCCTTTGGGCCCACCTATTGGAGAAGCCACAAAGTTGAAACATCCTGTGTCCTCATGCCCTTAAGGTGAAGTAGAGGGAATCCGTGCACTAATCGTCCTGAACCCAAGTTTCAACTTTCTGAGGTTCGCTATAAACCCTAAGATTCTCTCACTGCCCGATACGGACAAGTGTATCCTATGGGATCGGTGGGAGGGGAAAGCTCCACGACCCAAGCCCAAAGGGTTTAGGGTTTAAGGGTTTAGGGGTTTAGGGTTTAGGGTTTAACCCTAGGGCTCCAAGTATACAAACAGTACCTGCTGTGTCCTCTAAAGTCTGCAAATAGTGCCTGCTTTGGGCTAGTTGGAGCCCCAGGGTAATAATCATATTAAACAGTACGATAGGGGCCTTATCATGATTACCGATGCTATCTTGGGGGTTCCTTATTATATGTACAGTATAATGGGCCCCCGCAAAGCCTATTCTAATTATGAAGGCCCTATACTATACCCTCCCAAGTATGAACCTATTATAACTATGACCTTAAACCCACGGACATTCTTATTGGATCCTTTAGAGCCTTGTAGGATGAGCATATTTACAAAGCCAACCAAATCCCATGGCACCCCGAAGTGTTAAACCCTGAACTCTACCCTCGATGATGTTGAAACCTTCAAAGCCAACGCCCACAATGTGCTTGTTAGGGTGTAGGGATGCGGCTTGGGGTGTCGATTAAACCCTAAACCCTAAACCCTATTGGAGTGTGTCTAGAGTTCAGAGTTTCCGGGTCGAAACTCAGCAGAGCCCGGACCTTACAAAATCCCTTGATCCATGATTTGAGGGAAAGTCTTCATTGGAAGGGCTGGGGGTTCCTTTGAGGCTTCCTCCACCAGGTATCCTGGTGCACCCTTATGAAAGCCCGTATAGTAGCCCTTATAGAACCCTTCTAAACGAAGACTTTACGGACCTCTATTCTGATTCGGCCCCTATAGCAAACACTATAACCCTAAGGGTCCAAAGGACCCAAGAATTAGGTACTCGGTTTTAGGATAGTCTTTCTGTAGGTTAGGATTTGGGAGAGTATACGATAATTAGGTACTTGGACCCTTAGGGTAAGGGCACTCACCCCAGACACTCCAATATCCCTTAATTAGGGAATATTCCTTAAATCATATTAGGGATCCTATTATAATTTAAGGTATATTCCTTAATTAAGGGATATTGGAGTCTCTGGGACCAGGTATTCTGGGAGTACGAGATAGCTGGCGCCAGCACCAAGAGGCCCTCGAAGCTGCCCAGAGGCCGCCCAAAAGGGTTTAGGGTTCCTTTAAGGGTGCCCTTGAGGGTTTACCCAAAAGGGTCCAAAGTACCAATATAGGGTTCCTTTAAGGGTTTAGGGTCTAGGATTTCGTTAAGCGTTCCTAAGTACCGATATAGTAGAATGTAGGGTTTCTATATTAGGAAATGTGATTATGAGTTGGGGAAGTATTCCCCATAAGAGTACCTCGGACCCCTTTGGGTTCGGGTTCCTAAGGGTGCTGTACGGTTGATGGGGCTTCGGAGGTTTAGAGGTTTTGGGTTCAGGGAAGACCGGGGTCGGGGGACTTAGTAAGTAGACTTATAACTTATAAGTAC